AACATGTTTCTTAGTAAGTTTTCATATCAGAACATTTTAAAATTCTGGATGGAATGTTTAAAAATTAATATTAAAACATATTAATCCCTATAACTAACCCCTATTGTTGAACATTACAAAAGGGATTTTATTTTTGCAGTTATAGGCATTAAAGCAATATATGAACTTCTATATACATCATTTCAGATCCATGTGTATTTCTATTTGAAATTTGTACTTATTCTGATAATTATTTCCAAATGCAAATAGTGAATAAAATAAAATAAATGGAAATTTTCTTAGCATGCTATATATGTCTAATACTAAAAGATAGTTTTGTACTTTGAAAACACTGTCTCAAAGAGAGGTAGGGAGAGCAAGAGAGAGGGAGGGTAGTATTGTTTCCACTTAATCAGAAGCAAGACAGGATGTTCCTATCATTGCTAGGGTTTAGCCATCATTGTGAGGTAGTCGCTAGTGTACTGGCTTAAACAACCAAAACTACCACTCTGTAGTTCCCTATTAGATACTAAAACATCCTTGCACACGTAAAACTAGTGGGGCCAGGCCAGGCATAGTGCCACACCTTTTGATCTCAGCACTCCAGAGGCAGAGGCAGGATTTCTTTGAGATTAAGGCCAGCCTGGTCTCCTAGTAAGTTCCAGGCCACCTGGACCTACAGAGCACTACACGACACAGGTGTACTTAATACATGCAGGTAATACACTCAGATACATAAAAATAAATATTTATATCTCAAAAAACAGGCATAAATATCCACAACTTATGCTTGATCAGCTATTTCCAATATATGACACTAAAAGCATAAGTGATGAAGGAAAAATATAAGACAGCATCAAAATCAGTTTTTTTGGGTGTACTTCAGAAACAGCACTAGTGTAAAGTGAAAAAACAGACCACAAAATGGGAGAGAATGTTCGCAAATCCTCTGAGATAAAGAACTGGAATCCAGAGTATGGTAAGAACGCTTATACTTCAGCGTTAAAGCCCAAAATTAAATTCTAAAGGATTTAAAGAGACATTTCTCCAAAGAAAATATACAAGTAGCATAAGAAGCAATGAAAAGATGTTTGACACCATTCTTCAGGGAAATGCAAATCAAGCCACAGTAAGGGTCTGGGAGATGGCTTAGTGGATCAAGTGCCTGCTGTGAAAGTGTGAGGATCTGAATTCAGATTCCCAGAACCCATGTAAAGCTGGACATGGTGTAGCCCTTGTCTGTAATCCCAGAACCCCTACTGCAAATGGGAGACAGAGTGAAGAGGGTGCCCAGAAGCTTGCAGGCCAACGGGCCTGGCATATGCAATGGCAAACAAGAGATGTATCTAGTCTTGTTTTGTTTAAAGGTTTTATGTGTATGAGTATTTTACCTGCATGTATGTAAGGGCGTCAGCTCTGAGAGTCTCTCTTAAAACAAAAGTGGAAGCTGAGGACCAACAGCTAAAGTTGTCCTCTGCTCCACTCCCCTCTCCAGCACACATGCCCATACCCACATTCATATATGATGCATAAGTGCATACACAAAACACACAACAGTTTTTTTAAATGGACAGAAACAAATGTTGGCTAGGCTATGGAGAGCCTGGAATTCATTGCTGATGAGCATGTAACATAACAGCTCTGAAATGCAGCCTAACCCTGCACTACCCCCAAGTTGAACAGTTAGCTCTGTGGCCCAACAGTTCCACTCCTGTATGTATGCAAGAAGTGAAAACATGCTGTGCCTGGTGGTCCACATATATAATCCCAGCATTCAGAATGGTGAGGTAGGAGAATTGTGAGTTGTGCATTACACAGTAAAATCCTGTCTCAAAAAAGAAAAATTGAAAACATGTTGATAAAACGTGTACATGTCCCAGCACTCAGGAAGCATAGTTTCTTAGCTACTTTCTATTGCTGTGGTTTAATTGGCTTACAGTTCACAGTCCATCATCAAGGGAAACCAAGGAACTCAGGGCAGGAACCTGGAGGCACAAACTGCAACATGGACCATGGAGGAATGCTGCTTACTGGCTTGCTCCTCTGGCCTGTGCTCTGCCTTTCTTATACAGCTGAGGACCACCTGCCCAGGGGTGGCACCACCCACAGTGGGTTGAGCTCTCCAACAATCAAAAAAATGCCCTATAGACATCGCTACAGGCCAGTCCAGTGGAGACAGGTCTTCAGCTGAGATTCCCTCTACCCAGGTGTGTCAAGTTAACTAAAGCTCTCCAGCACACAGAGGCAGGTGGATCGCTGTGAGATCGAGGCCAGGCTAGTCTATTGTAGCAAGTTCCAAGCCAGCTGGGGCTACAGGGAAACCCTTTCTCAGGAAAAAAAAAAAAAAAAAAGTACATGACTGTTAATGAAAGCATAATAGCCAGAAAGTGGGACAAGTCATATGTCCATCAGCTAATGATTGGGTTAACAGTGCTTTATATTCATACAGTGGCTATTACTTGGCCATAAAAAGGAATGAAATAGTGATAACATGCTATGACACGGATTAGCTCCTTGAGGTATGCCAGTCACAAAACAGCAGTTTTGTATGAATTGCTGAGAAGAATAAGTAAATCCATGAGGAGGAGGGAGAGGTTGGTGGTTGCCTGGACCCTGGGAAGAGGGAACAATGAGGCTCGGTGATCAGGAGTGATTTTTACTGTGTGGACTTAAAAAGTGACTTGTTTTGGTCAGAGGAGCTTACTTAGGCATCGTTCCTACCCCATCAACCTCCGCTGAGGAGCTCATTTTACAGCATAGCCAGCCAGTCTAATACCTGGGGTGTGTGAACTTAGTTTTGGTGTTCTGAGAGAAAGCTGAGGGGCCTAAGGTGAAAGTTGTTGCTGTTGAATTTGCAGTTTTAAGGTTACTCATTTTCAGCTTCACTTCTACTCTTGCCCTTTACCTAAAGTCTTAGTCCTATGGCTCTTTTCTCTGTAATTTCATGCGACGTGACAGAGAAATATGGATCTCTTGACTGTCAAGACTAGAATCAGTGACTCACGTCTGTTTGCCCAATCTCTCTTCTTTTCTCCAGTTGGTCTCTTTACTGCCTACCATGTTTTGGAGTTCCTGAAGATAAATCTGTTCCATTCACATCTCTTTTACCTCTTGCATGTATTTAATTCTTGGTTTCTACCTCGCCCATTTTTTTTTCGGAAATGCTTTGGCAGCTTTCATCGGCTATTTTCCTCTCATTTTCTTGTAGTCTAGACCTTTTTTTAATTTCCTTACTTTGATTTTACTGTACAGAAGACAATAAATGTCTCACCAGACTTCAGTGCTTTCGTCACTGAGCTCTCCTATACAGGTGCAGTGGTATTATAGCTTGAAAGCAAACAGTGTTGTCAGTATATTCTCAACACAAGCCATACTGCCTTTCTTCTTCAAACTTAACATGCTTAAGTTAGTTAAGAATTAGGAGTCTTCTCAGCATAGACGTGGGGAAATAAAAGAAACCTCAAACTAACCTAAGGAAATACTGGAAACTGGGAGGGGCAGAGACAGACTCTTTCAAGGATGGGACTCAGTAGGTTAGCCAGGCTCCAGTGGAGGAACTCACACTGAAGAACATTAGGGGACACTGATTAGATTCTG